TCATCACATCATCATCATCATCATCATCATCATCATCATCAGCATCAGCATCATCATCGCATCAGCATCAGCATCAGCAGCAGCATCCAGCAATCAGCATCATCATCATCATGATCATGATCATGATCATATCATGGATCATATCATCTTCATCTTCATCTTCATCACTCATCATCATCTTCACCATCATCCTTCCTCCTGCTCCTGCTCCTCCTCCTCCCGCCTCCTCCGCCTCCTCGTCCTCCTCCTCCGCTTCCTCCTCCTTCCCCTCCTCCTCCTCCTCCTCTCCTCCTACCTCCATCCTCCTCCTCCCGCCTCCCTTCCCTCCTCACTCCTCCTCCCTCCTCCACTCCTCCTGCCCTCCCATCCTCCTTCTCTCCTCCTCCTCCTCACCTTCCTCCTCCCTCTTCTCCTCCTCCTCTCCTCCCTCCTCCTCCTTCCGTCTCCGCCCCCTGCTGCTCTTTCTTCCTCCGCCTCCTACTCCTCTTCCTCCTCTCCTCATCCTCTCCTCGTTCGCCTCCTCGCCTCGCCTCCTCGTCTCGCCTCCTCCTCCTCCTCCTCCTCCTCCTCCTCCTCCTCCTCCTGTTCCTCCTGCTGCTTGCTCCTCGCCGCCTTCACCACGCACACGCGCTCGTCCCCCGCGCCGTGCAGCTCCAGCCGTCGCTCCGGCCGCGCCACGCGGCCCGGCGCCGTGAACGCGCACCGCTGCAGCACCAACCGCCCGTCCGCCTCCACCGTGTCGCAGTGCGAGAACCGGAACTCGGGCTGCCTGAGGGGTGTCGTCGTCGTCGCCGTCGTCGTCGCCGCCGCCTTCGACGTCGCCGCCGCCGTCGTCGTCGTCGTCGCCGCCGTCGTCGTCGTCGTCATCGTCGTCGTAGTCGTCGTCGTCGTCGTCGCCGTCGTCGGCGGCACTCGATAAGGGAGAGCAGGACGACGGGGAGGGAGGGGGAGGAGGAGGAGGAGGAGGAGGAGGAGGAGGAGGAGGAGGAGGAGGCGAGACGAGGGGGCGAGGCGAGGAGGCGAGGTGGCGAAGGAGCCGGGAGCCGGAGGTGCAGCGCGAGAGCGGCGGCGGGCACTGCCCCGGAATCGACCGTGCCTCGCCGTGAAGCCCCCAGACGGGAAAACTGCGCGTTCCTTCGGGAATCTTCTGACCGGGGTCAATCCAGACCTGGGTCAGCAAGAAACAAAAAAACTGCAATGCAGGTCTTCGCAAACCTGGGTCAACCAATATGCGCGGCCGCCCTCGCGGCCACGAGTGGCTCGCTAACCTGGGTCAGCCAGAAGGGGTCTTCGCAGGATCCTGCAGGATCCCGTGCCCTGGCTGACCCCCGTTTGCGTTGACCCCCGTCTCAAGGCTCCCGATTCCTGGGGTTTCTCATTGCACCGGCCTTGCAGACGTGCTGCAGCGGATTTCTTCGTGGATTTCTGCGTGGATTGTCGACCGAAGCGGCGAGCGAAAAGCGAAGTGGATTTCGCGTGGATTTTTCCCCACATCCAAAGTGGGGTTCTTGTTTTCTCTGGACACCTCACGCAGGAACCTCACCTCACCTCACCTCCCACCCTCTCCCCTTCACTCACCATCATCATTATCATCATCACCACTCATCGTCACTATTCACCATCATCCTCAGCATCGTCACCATCATCAGGATCACCACACTCATTCACATTCACATCATTATCATCCCCATCACCAACAACATTACCATCATTCGAACAATCGTCATCATTATGACACCCATCACCTTCACCAATCAGCATCACCACTCATCATCATCATCATCATCATCACCATCATCGTCACCATCCTCATCATCGTCACCATCATCATCACTCGATCACCTACTCAGCATCATCAGTATCATCATCATCACTCACTCAACCACCCACCCACCCACCCACCCACTCACCCACTCACTCACTCACTCACTCACTCACTCACGCACTCACTCATCACCTCGTCATCACTCACCCCATAGCTTGAATATGGATGAAGTCTCAACCAGGAGTTTCGTCTGTGAGTGAATTGTGAGGAAGTCTCACGCAGGAACCCCCTCCCTATGGGTTCCGCGCTTCATCGTCACTTTGGGGTTCCTCACGCCTGAATTTGGGGGGAAATATCAAGCGGGAGCTTCGTCTGCGAGTGAATTGTGAGGAAGTCTGAGGCGGGAGCCCCCTTTCCTATGGGTCCCGCACTTCACGTTGGCAATCCGAGCGGGTCATCCGAAACGTGTAATTGTCGTCATTTTTGGGCTCCTCATGTGTGAATTTGGGGAAAGTATTACGCGGGAGCCTCGTCTGTGAGTGAATTGTGAGGAAGTCTGAGGCGGGAGCCCCTTTCCTATGGGTCCCGCACTTCATGTTGGCAATCCGAACGGGTCATCCGAAACGTGCAACTGTCGTCATTTTTGGCTCCTCAGGCTTGAATTTGGGCGAGGTATCAAGCGGGAGCCTCGTCTGCAGGCGGGAGCCCCTTTCCTACGGACTCCGCACTTCGCGT